CAGCCTCAGCTTCTCTGGGAAATCCATTCCAGCCCCTTCCCACCCTCACAGGGAGGAATTTTTTCCCAATATCCCACTTGAATCTCCCCTTTTCCGGTGTGAAGCCATTCCCCCTTGTCCTGTCCCTCCAGCCCTTGCGAATAGTCTCTCCCCATGTTCCTTGTAGGCCCTTCAGGTCCTGGAAGGCCACAATGAGGTCACCCCGAGGCTTCTCCAGGCTGAACAATCCCAATTCCCTCACCCTTTCCTCCCTTCAGAGCTGCTCCATCCCTCTGACCACCTTGGTGCCTCCTCTGGTCTCGCTCCAGCAGCTCCGTGTCCTTCGGCAGGACCAGGAGAAACGACCCTAAGCTCTGCCAGGGGAGGGATAACAGGAAAAAATTCCTCACAGAAAGGGTGGTCAGGCCTTGGAAGGAGCTGTCCAGGGAAGTGGTAGAGTCCCTCTCCCTTGGGGTGTCCAAACCATCCCTGGAGGTGTCCAAACCATTCCTGGAGTGTCCAAACCATCTCTGGAGTGTCCAAACCATCCCTGGAGTGTCCAAACCATCTCTGGAGTGTCCAAACCATCCCTGGAGTGTCCAAACCATCCCTGGGGGTGTCCAAACCATCTCTGGAGTGTCCAAACCATCCCTGGAGGTGTCCAATCCATCCCTGGAAGTGTCCAAACCATCCCTGGAGGTGTCCAAACGACGAGTGGATGTGACACTTTGTGAGAGGGTTTGTTGGGCTTGGGGGCACAAGGTTGGATTTGACAATCTGGGAGAGCTTTTCCAACCTTAAAGCCCATCCAGTCCCACCCCCTGCCATAGGCAGGGACACCTGCCCCTATCCCAGGTTGCTCCAGCCCGTCCTGGGACACTCCTGGGTGTTCCAGAGTGGGTGAGGGCCGTCCCTTGGGCTCTGTGGGATCCCAGGCCGGGATCCCAGGAGCCCCATCCCACTGATCCCGGTGTTCCACAGGACAGGCAGTGTCCCTGGTGCTGGTGGCCGTGCTGTGGGGTGGGAGCAGCCCCTTCCTGAGGGCAGGAGCAGCGGGAATGGAGGATGTTCGGGGCCGGGGCCGCCTGGGGCAGCTCCTGGCTGAGATCCGCTTCCTCGGCCTCAACTACAAGGTGGGACCTGGAGCAGGGATCAAACTGGGATCACTCCTGCTTCTTTACTCAGGCTTTGATACCTTTGCTCTCAAGCTGTTAAATATTCCATGTATGTTTTTATGTTTATGGAATTTATATATGGAATATGTATTCCACATTCCTGCCTTTGAGATCATTCCTATCTCTCACTCTGGCCTTGATACCTTCACTTCAACTCTTAAATACTCCATATATGTTTTTATATGTATGGAATATATATAAGAATTTTTTAATAAATATTTTTAGATATATACTATTCTTAATATATATATTTTTATATTTGTATATATTCTATATATTTATATATAAATATATATATATATATTCCATATTCCTGCCTCTGGGATCATTCCTACTTCTTACTGTGGCCTTGATACCTTCACTAAAACTGTTACATATTCCACACGTATTTTTATAAATATGGAAATTCTATCTATATAATTTATATAAATATAAATATATATGTATGTATGTATTGAATATATATTCCATATTCCTGCCTCTGGGATCGTTGCTACCTGCTTACTCTGACTTCAATAACTTCACTTAAACTGTTAAATATTCCATATGTATATTTATATGTATTCCATATATATTCCATATTCCTCCCTCTGGGATCATTCCTGCATCTCACTCTGGCCTTGATACCTTTATTTCACTGTGAAATATTCCATATATCATCAGAATTCCATACCCTCAGCAATATTTCATTTAATTTCCTGTAGCTCTGCCCTCCCTGTGCAGGACTGAGATGGTTTTGGAGGTGTCAGGTCATATTTTGCATGGAATAAGCTCAGTGTTGAAATTCCTTTGGGATCATTCCTACCTGCTCCTGGCCTCGATACCTTCACTTAAACTGTGAAATATTCCATCCCTGTTTTTACATATATGGGATTTATGTGTGGACTGCTGACAGGTTTGTGCTCTCCCTGCAGTACATGGTGCCCTTTCTGCTCAACCAAGGTGGATCTCTCCTCTTCTACCTCACCTTGGCATCCACAGGTCAGTCCTTGTCTCTTTTTTGTTGTGTCTTGGTGAGGAGTTTTGAGAGGATCCCAAAATTTGATTGATGACTTAACCCAACACCCAGCAGCTGCCTTGGAATCACCCCAAATAAACTAAAAATCTCCATGTTAAACCTCCCCTTCCAGACCTGTCCCTGGCAGTCCCACTCTGCAACTCCCTGGCTTTGGTGGTGACCCTGGTGACTGGGAGGATCCTGGGAGAGGATGTTGGTGGCAAACGTAAGTCACACTTCAGGCATTCCCTCCCCTGCTCCCCTGCATCTGGTGGCTGATTTAGGGTGTGAAAACAGCAAATACCCCCACAAGGCTTTGGCTGGTTTGGCAGCAGCTCTTGCTGCAGACCCTGAAAGGGAAGTGAAACAGATTTGTGGGCAGGGCTGGTAAATTTAAATTTAGAACTGGCTGTTCTAAGCTAAAAGAGCTTATAAACCCAACGAGATGTTGAACCATAAAAGAAGCAGTGAATAATATGCCCACCATGGAAAAGGAGTGGCCCATAAGCCCCCAAATGTCAACACCCATCCTCCTTTCCTTCCCTGATGTCCTGCTCTGACATTGCCCTGCTCAGAAGGGCAGAAAAAGGCAGGGAACTGGAAAGTTTAAAACTCCAGCACCTGGAACAAGAGCTGAAGGAAAAGGAGCTGTAGGAAAAAGAGCTGTAAGAACAGGAGCTGTAGGAACAGGAGCTGTAGGAACAGGAGCTGTAGAACAAGAGCTGTAGGAACAAGAGCTGTAGGAACAGGAGCTGTAGGAACAGGAGCTGTAGGAACAGGAGCTGTAGGAACACACTGAGCTGTTTAGTTGTTGTTTAAGCCTGGATCTCTCCAACAGACATGGAACATGGGTGACATTGCCTTGGAAACATCCCGTGCTCAGTGTCCAGGGACAGTCTGAGCATCCAAACCCCCTCAGAACTCACCTGGCCCAGGCTGGACCTGCCCAGACATCCCTGCCCTGTGACACCTGAGCATTGTCTGAACTGTGCAGACAATCACAGAATGGTTTGGGTTGGGAGGGACCTTCAAGATCATCTCATTCCAACCCCTCCTGCCTGTTGTGGATAAGCACATTCCCAATGTGTCCCTGTTCATTCCCACAGGGGCTGTGGCAGGAATGCTGCTCACTGTCCTGGGGGTCTCCCTGTGTGTGGCTGGTTCAGGAACAAGAAGCAGAGGGACAGAACCTGACCAAGGGTGACCCCTCCCTGTGGCTGAGGGGGCTCCTGGCTCAGCCATGCCTGGGAAAGGTGGATTTTGACACACAGATGTCAAAACCCATGGACTGTATTCCCTGAGCACCAGGGAATGGAACAAAACACATCCCATTCCATGTCTTGAGTTAAGGAATTTTTTTGTGGGTGTTTCAAGACGACGAGGATTGAATTTGCTCAGCACTGAAGGGGCAATAAATAGTTAATAAATCATTCAATGGGACTTTCTGGGACTGATTGATTTTTGATTAGAAGGAATTTTTTTTAGGAATTCTTCCTTCTTGTAGCCAAGCAAGTGAAAATGGCTTTTTCTGCTGTGCTCAGCTGTCCCAGCTCACACTGCACAGCCCCTTACTCAGAGGTTACTACAGGGCTGTCCTCAGAGTTCCTCTCATCCATCAAACACCCACAAGTGCAGTGTGTCCCTAAGGAAGGAAGGGTGGGTTCCTTTTCAGTAAAATTATCAGTCCAAAGTACCAGAGAAATCACAGAAGGAAAAAAAATAATCATTGTCACCCTTGTAATTAATGAGAAACCTCAGGGAGGGAAATCACAAAGCCTTGCCCAGAGAGGGTGATTCAGGAGCTGTTTATTCCTGTGACTTTTCCTAAATCAGGGAGGCAGAAATAAAATATATATGGATTTGGGAACAGCTTTAATTGCTGCAAACATTATCCAGGCATTGCAAATCAGAGGGACAACGATACAATGAAATCTCTTTCTAAGAAATACCTGACAGAGGGCAAACCCTGGCAGATGTTTTGTTATTAAAACATGGTTTCTGTTTGGTAATTCTTCCTTCCCCAGTTCAGCTACAAACCAGCTGATTTAGAGCTCAGAAGAGCAGCCATTTCCTCTGAGAAAAAAAGGGGGAAATCTTCATTATTTAACAACACTGTGCATCTGAATAAAACCAACTGCACAGGAATGTGATCCGGGGGGGAAAGCCAAGGGAAAGCAGCAGCATTGGAGCAAACACAGCACAACAAGGGTCAGGAACCACCAGCTAAAGCTTCACCAGGGCTTTCTCTAATTTCACTTCAAAGGAATTGTCTTCCTTTGAAGTTCTAATTAACCCAGAGACACCACGGAGGCAGAGCTGAGTCACCTACACTGTCACCCATTACAGCAATCCTGAATATCCTCAGGAAAAGCTGGAATCATTAACACACCACTGACAACAGAAATTTTGCTGACCTCGTCATGCAGAATTTTGTTTTTAAAAGAACCATTTTTTCCCTCTTGTTTAAAGCAAACAAGAACTTTTGTTACTAAAATAAGCGTGTTCAAGTCATTTGAGGAATTAGGTGGTTATTCCCTGGCAGATTCTGAGCTTCACCTGGATAAAGTTCTGCTTAAGAAACTTCAGGAATTGCAGTGGGAGGAATCTGATCACGGGAATGTTCTCCCACACTCCACAGAACCAGTGAGGGGAATAAATACCTTTCTGTGGTGTCTCATTTGGGGTTTTCATCTAAGTTCTTCTGTGACAGGAGTGAGGATGGAAACACAGAAGAATCCAGGAGAGCCTTTGCTGTCCTTACTGGAGTGGGAAGCTGTAGCTTTCACATTCCAGAAGGGAATTGTTCATTCTCCAGATGGGATTTCTTGCCTTTCTAACACACGAGGCCCTGCAGTGACACCGAGCTGCGGTTTCTCAAGTTCCCCCTCGTGGTTACTCTCGGCTTTACACATCGGAGAGCAGCTCAGTGTGTCCTAAACCTGATAAATGGGATTTCAGTGAGAAAACAAGGACTTCCCCAAGGAATTGCTGTGAACTCTCCATTGGCCCTTGGGGCTGAGCCATTCCAGGGGGACCAGGAGTCCTTCCCTGGAGCAGGGAGGTTCCAGACAGGCAGGAAATCACCTCTCAGACCTGGTCAATGGGTACATCCAGCCTGGTGTGTTCACCCTCTTCCCGAGCACCTCTCATCTCCCTCCTTGGATCCCTGGGTTTAGAGAGACTTTTTCCTGTGAGGAAAAGGAAAGGGAGAAGCTGTTCCATGGGTGGTGCATGGCCTGGTCACGCTGAGGGTGCAGAGTCCTGGTGTGTGCCCAGGTGAGGAGGGGAAAGAAGAAATGCAGGAATTGCTGGATGCATCCCTGCCAGCTGTCAGGGCAGGAATCCTGTCCTTCAGCACCATAAATCCACACTCACACCTTCACCTGGGCCAGGCTGCACACTCCTGCTGCTCCTTCTGTTCTGTCCTGCACGCACAGGTTTGACATGGAAAATGGGCTCTTCCTCCTCGAGGGGAGATTTCCTGGCTGGAATTTGCAGCTGTGGGAAGGCAGGTGGGATCTTGCCTTTCTCTGCAGCTCCCGTGGTCTGCACCCTGCGACTGCCCAGCTGAAAAAACCCATCACACTTTGTAAAAGTTGTGCAGGGCGGTCCCTAAACACTCAAATTCCTGCTATTTTCCTTGATCCCGACTGGTACAAAGCTGTAACTGTAACAAGAGGGTTTCAGGGAGAGGCTGTGGCTGCCCCATCCCTTGGAAGTGTCCAAGGCCAGGCTGGACAAGGCTTGGAGCAACCTGGGCTAGTGGAAGGTGTCCCTGCCCATGGCAGGGGGTGGCACTGGATGAGCTTTAAAGTCCCTCCCAACCCCATGATTCCGTGATTGCAGCACAAACCACTCTGTGCCACTGACACTCACCCTGCCCTGGCTCTTTTGGTGCCTGTTTTTTGGGTGGTTCCTGTAACAAAGAAGCAAATTCCAGCAAATTCCAGCGTCAGGCAGAGGTCAGCAGAGGGAGGGCACAGCCCCCTCTTTTCCCAGAGGAGAGGGGCCCAGAGATGTTTTTCACATTCCACAGTGGATCCCATCAGGTGATACCACACTGCCCACCACAGGCCTGGGAAATTCCATGGATAATGGGCAGGTGTGTCCCTCTCAGTGCTCCATGAACAGCCCATTTGCTTCCTCTGGCACTGAACCCTGGATTTCAGGGACTAACCAAAAACCTTTGAAAACATTTTTCTTCCTTCCCTGAACTCCCAACACACGAAGCACAACTCAAACGCTGACACAGGCAGAGGGAACAGAGGGGGGCCACAGAAAGGATGGCTCTGCCTGAAGGCCACCACGGAGGGAATTCCTTACACCCCTTGGCCACAGCCCACACACCCCAGTGTCCTGCACTCCTGGGGCACCAGCAGCTCCCTGTAGGGCAGGGGTTTGTACTCCTCCTTTCCCACTGCCACGTAGTGATGGCCATTCTCCAGCTCCTCCCCTCCGCACACCGGGGTCCCATCCAGCCTGCAGAGCCTGGAGGAAGGAGACAGCAAAGGGATCAGGGCTCTGACAATCCCTGAACAGCATGGAAAACAAGGGCAGAGTGGGAAACGAGGCAGAGGATCCATCATTCTTAGCGTTGCTCTGAGGAAATCACAGAAATCATGCCCATGATCAGTGAGATGCAATAGATCCCAGCTTTCTCCTTGGCTAAATTGATGTTTGGGGAGGAATTAGGTTTTCTTCCCCTCCCTCAAGACATAAACTCCTTTTTATGCCACTGTTGTGGTTTTTTTTACTGTTTGCTTATTGCTTTTTCACCAGCATCAGCCCCCCCCCTTACAAAGCACCCAGGACATTGGGGTTGTCCCTGATTTAGTGATGGGAAAACCTGAAAAGCAAACGAGTTTGCAAAAGCAGATGGTCTGAACTTCCAGCCAGAGCTCCCCATGTTCTGGATCTCTGGGAAGTGCCTTCCCCGGATACCCACTTGTTAACAGCTCCACTGCCCAACTCCACTTTCTCTGTCAGCGTGGCCAGGAGCGTGTCCCACTCCAGTGGGATCCTCTTGGGGAGCACCAGTGGGAAAGGAGGGCTCAGCAGATCCCCATTCTGGAAAACACTGCAGGAGAAACAGCCCAGAGCACGGGATGAGCCAGCATTCCCAGAGCTGGGGGAGATGGGGAGAACAGCCAGACACCGGTGCCTGGACTGTATTTACAGCAAATACTCCTGGTGGAAACTGGGAATCGTCTCTCTGGGGCAGCATTCCTGGGATTTCACAGAGAAACTCCCTCTGAAAACATTCCCAGGGACCCTCCAAGGGGAAAATATGGAATCACTTACTGTATGGTGCAGGGCAGGCGGGAGAGCTGCTGCCGTTGGACGAAGGTGTTGGATTTCCAGGGATCTGCAGCGCGGGACTGGGGACAGAGTTCATTGCACAGGGAGAGCTCTGCAGAACCTCCCAGGCTGCTCCTGTTTCTCCATCAGGATCTGCCTGCCCTGGCACACTCCCCTGGGATACAGCCCATCCTGGGATACAACCCATCCTGGGATACAGCCCATCCTGCCCAGCCTTGCTGCTGCCATGTGGGGTTTGTTGTCAGCAACAGGGAGGCTGCAGAGGCTCCTCACACAGGGAGCGTGTTCCAGGTTTGCCAGGGAATCCCTGAGCTCAGACCCTTCCCTGCACCGTTCAGGGGGATGAAGGGATCAGCAGCAGCCCCTGTGTCCTGCTGATCCCTGGGGCACTTTGATCCCCACAGCCCTAAATCCCAACTTCAGCCCCATCAGCTGCTGTTTTTCACCCCCCTGCCCCTCAGTGACCCACCTGCAGACTCTTCCTCGTCCCACTGGTCTCCTTCCTCCCCTGATTTAAGTAGCTGTGGGAACAAGACAAGGGTGTTTCCACACCCCACCCAAGCCATGGCTGCCCAAAGCTGCTCCCAAAACTCCCTCTACTCACTCCAGCTTTTGGAGCCTCTCCGACCCCGCAGCCACGTACTGGCCCCCGTCCCGCAGGTCCCCCAGCCCCGTGACACCGCGGCCGTGCCGGGGGGTGTAGAGGTTCCTCACGGCCAGGGGGGTGTGGAGGGCCTTGGTCACCTCATCCAGGAAGGCCTCGAAGGTCGGGAAGCGCCGGGGGGTCACCAGGAATCTCCTCCCCGGGAAGAAACGGTCCCCGTTGCGATAGATCAGCACGGTCCTGGCTGGAGCTGGGCCTTGGGGGCTCATCCCGGTGGGACACACTGGTCACAGGGGATGTGACCTCCTGCTGAGCCCAAACCCTTCCAAATCACACCTCCCAGAGCCCAAACCCTTCCAAATCACACCCCCCAGAGCCCAGACCTTTCTGACCAGCCTAAATCCTTCCAACCAGCTCCCCAGAGTCCAAACCCTTTTGACCAGCCTCCTGCAAAGCCCAAAGCAAACCCTTCCAACCAGCCCAAAGCCTTCCTGCTGAGCCCAAACCCTTCTGACCACCCTCCCACTGAGCCTAAACCCCCCCAAACAGCCCCCCAGACTCCAAACCCTTCAGACCAGCCGCTCTGGGCTCTGCTGTCCCACCCCTTCCCAGCCCAGCCTGGCATGACCGAGCATCTCCATGGATGCAAACCCAGCAGGAGGGAGCCGTGGGAGGCCACACCAAACACCTGCAGAGCACTTTCCTGCCCGAGAACCAGGAACCACACGGCTCTTCAATCCTCAACCACCACTACAGGGGCCCAATATTGGAGTCACCAGGCTCTGACCAGGATTTTTGGATCAGGATCTTCCTGGCAGCAGCTCCTGTCCCCCCCACAGCAGCGCTGCCCAGGTGCTGTCACGCCCCTGTCATCACTTGCTCCCCTCAGGAGAAGTGCAAAGGATCCCATCCTGGATCAGATGAACACTCACATCCCAGTGGGCACTTTGTCCCAAATGGATTCCAAGGGCCAAAACAGGACTTGGCTCTGCCCAGGAAAAGGCAGGAAGCCAGACAGGAACAGATCCAAAGAGGAGCATTAGGAAAGCTTTTTATTCACAAACAAGTGGGGATCTATTCTGGAACAGAGGGATCCATCTGCCACCTGTCAACAGAGGCTGTTCAGGCAGCAGGAATGCAGAGGGGGATCACAGGGGGGGAACCACAGCACCACGTTGAAAGTCCCTTTTCCAGGGAGCTGGAATGTTCCTGAGCTACAGGAACAAATAGAGCACCTCCCAACCTCCCTGAGGCACTGGTCCAGTGTTCCCAAAATCCACTGCGGGCACTTGGAGATCCTGGATATTGCAGAGGTGTGAAGTGCAGAGCCCTCCCAAACACACAGCTCAGATTCCCACACGGTTCAGAGGGGAACAGGCTGTTCCTGCAGGTCCCAGCACCTGCTGCCTTCAGGCATTTCACTCCAAAAGCACCTTCTGTAAGTGAAAAATCTTCCCATCTTCCATTTCTCCCCCCGGATCACCCAGCTCAGCCAACGGGAATGGGGTCCTTGTGGAAGGATCCTCACTTGGAATCCCTCCAGCACACACCACAACCTCCCTGGCTCCACAGTGTTTAATCCTGCTCTGACCAAACATTCACACCTACAAGAACTAAGAGGTTTTCTTGCCACGTTCTGCTGAAGTTAAAACCATCAACCCACGGAGCTGGAGCTCCCCTGAGGTCACCCGTGGTGCTGCAGCTCCACGGCTTCCCCACACCAATCCAGGGGGTTGGGAATGCCTTCCAAGGAGTCAGGAATCCCCAGCTTCCGCTTCAGCATCAAGAACTGGAAAAGGGGAAAAAAACAAGCACTGATGATTAAATCCCAGAGACCCAGGGGCAGATGAAACAGCAAAACCCCTGTCCCCAGCCAGCCCAATCCCTGGATAATGGGATTGTCCCCAGCCAGCCCCACTTTTGGAGGGGCTGCCCCCGCTGTTTGGGAAGAGGCAGGGCCAGGCCCTCACATTTTTCCTGCTGGCAATGGCCTGTTGCAGCCACATGAGCTCCATGAGCAGGTGGGTCCTGTAGGCCTGGAGCCCGGAGCGGGTTTGGGGAAGGCCTCCCAGAGGGATTTCTGCAAAGAAATGGAACAACAGCCCACGGTGAGGACAGATCTGGCCTGTGGGAGCTCCTTCCAGCCTCTCCAAGGCACTCCCAAGGCTGTGGCTCCCCTGAGGGCCCCCCCTGTGCCCCCTCACCCCGCTGGGCTCCGAGGGTCTCCGTGCCCAGGTCGGAGCTGTCCCACACCGAGGTCTCGCCGCTGTCATTGTCCCACTCCTCGCTCTCCTTTTCCGTGCCTTTGTCACCCTCAACCCCCACATTTGGGGGGCTCAGGGTGTTGTCTGGGCCCGTGGGGGTCGGGGCTGTCCTGCCCTGCAGGGGGGCTGGGGGGGTCCCATCTGGTTCAGGGGGTTCAGGTTCCTCCAGAGGGTTTTTGGTGCTGGTCTCCTGGGGATCCAAGGGCTGCCCCGGCGTGGGCTGCCAGAGGGGAGACAGGGGAGGGATGGAAATGGGGAGGGGGGGAGGAGATATGGTAGAGGGGAAGGAAAAGGGAAAAAAGAAAAAAACATAAAGAAAATATATGGAAAATAAGTATAAGAAAAATAAATATAAGGAAAATGCAAAGAAAAATAGGAAGGAAATAAATATGAAGGAAATAAATATGAAGGAAAAAATATGAAGGAAATAAATATGAAGGAAAAAATATGAAGGAAAAAATATGAAGGAAAAAATA